TATGTCATTGGCTGAAAAATGAACGTGTGGGTGTATTCTCTCTTAATTTTGTTTGTTGCATCTTTCAAGTGAAATCCAAAATCATGATAGTTTCGTAATAATCACAAAAACAGCATTACAATAAAACTAATTAATGATATGGGATCACGATTCACAAGATAGATCTGATGGATTTTGGAATGGAGGCCTGATATTCGACCCAATAATGGGCCTATAAACTGTATATCATGGGCTACATGGGTGGGTAATTTGGGTATAAGAAAAGGAAAATATACATTTTTTCTGGTAGTTGTTAAAATGGGCTTAGAGGCCAGGCCAGTGGCTAAAGTCCGCAGCCCAAACTAGTTTAACCGCTAACTGTTTTTAATTTTGCTTAAATGAAACGATGTCGTTGTAGAATCTCTTCACAGTTCAAAAACATTTGTTGTTTTCAACCCAAACTCAAGTCGAATTCCTGTGATTAGAAGACCTTTCTAATATTCCTGATTTCCTTTTTCATGGATCGTTTCATTGTTGGGTTCGTATAAGGGTCGTATTTCAAAAACAAGATCCACATGAACTTCGACAGTGGACTTTTCCACGTGCAAAACTGACTGGAGAAAACGACAGTAGCCAGAGTCAAACAATGCCAGGGTGTTCAATCTTGAGGCACGTGACGACATCAGTGGTTCAACGGTCATATTCAGAATCAGCAACAAACTATTGGCACGTGACAAAGATCAGACCCCACCCACCAATCATTTTGCTCCCTTGTCTCCTTCTTCAATCTTACCCAAAACATTGATTAAAAACAAATTTCAAAATCAGAGTGGCGCGCATTAGTGATTTTTTTTTTTTGACAGTTTTGGATCGACAAAACCCGATCAATAGCCAATCCCTACTATGCGGGATAACGCGACTTACTGGAGTCGAACTCCGGTGGGGAAGACGGAGTCAAATGGACTTAACCACTTGACTAAAGGCACATCCCCGCGCGCATTAGTGATTTTGTAATCTTAATTATAGAATTAATTATTAGTTGAATGATTTTTTTCTTTAATTACTAAAAATCAAAACACAATTCGGCGCTAAAAACATAAAACCTCCTATAAAGCGTGTCCCACATGCATCAAATCCGGGTGCATTAAGTACGTTTGACTAATAATAAATAATCTCTAGTGGACCACTCGAGTTTGAAACATGAAATTTAATTCGATTTCTTGGTCCAAACAAAAGACATTAAAGAAGCTCCAAAGACCAATAAATAATGCTGAATTTTGATAATTGCTTCTTGTTTTTTGTTTTTCTTTTACTAAAAATTTAAATCAGGAAGACTAAAATAAAAACGGTTAGGCCGGTGAAGGCTGAGAAGTTGGGTCGGCGGAGGAAGGAACGTCAGGACCAACACGACAGCCTTCAAGCATGAAAACAACATCGGACATTGTTGGTCGGTCAAGAGGATCTGTTGCAGTACAAAGAAGTCCGACTTTGATTCCTAATAAGAACTCTTCCCATTCTGATGATTCCGGGTCGAGTTCGAGTAGGCCCGGTTCTAGTAGCTCTGTGACTTGGCCTCTCTGAAGCTGTTTCTTCACCCATTTCACTATATCCTCGTCTTGTGTGAACATTACCGGTCTTTTTCCCGTTAGGATTTCGAGTAGGACAATGCCGAAGCTGTAGATGTCGGATTCTCTTGTGATTTCCCCGGACAATGTAGCTTCTGGAGAGACATATCCTAGCGTCCCAATGGTGTTTGCTGTGACGGCTGATCTTGATGGGGATCGAACAGTGAGACGGTCAAGCCCAAAATCAGATAAATGGGCTTCGAAGTCAGCGTCGAAGAGTACATTCTGTGGCTTGATATCACCATGAACCTATTTGGGATAAGAGATGTTAAAAAGGACTGAATGTAATGTGTTATGTAGAATGTGATTTAAACCATAATTTTCTTACCATGTTGGATTGATGGAGGAAACCGAGTCCGCGAGCGATTCCGAGAGCTATGAGGTGGCGCATTGGCCAGTTTAGGACATGGCCATCTTGGTGGGAAGCTTCTTGGAGCAGAGTAGATAAGTTCCCGTTGGGCATGTAGTCATATACTAAAAGCCTTAAGTCTGGTGGACCTGCGTAGTAACCTCTAAGAACCGTGATGTTTCGGTGCTTGACTTTACCAAGAACTTCAGCTTCCTTTTTGAACAAGTTCTCATTCAAGAGTGAGCCATTGGGTAAGCGGCGGATAGAGAGAACCATTCCATCATTGTAATTGGCTTTGAATAGCAATCCGTATCGGGTTCTGCTAAGAACGTTTTCTTCATCGAACTGTCTTGTTGCTTCGATTGTTTCAGCTAGCGTTATCTTGTTGTTGAACATAACTAGCTTTGGTTCTCCATTTTCTGTGCTTGATCTGCTTGTGCTGCTACGGACTCTACTTCCTGCGCTTGTTCTACCAGGACTTCGTTTCTTCTCTCCCGTTGTAGACTGTTGTTTCAGCTTCTTTCTCCATTTCAAGAGTGTGTAAACGTAGAAGCAGCAGAAGAGTGATAAAAGGAATGCACCTATTGCAGCCATAACTATCATCAGAATCATTTTCCTTTTCTTCTTCTTTTCTTCCGCTGTGCTGCTTTCGCATTTTCTGTTTAATGGCTTTCCGCAGAGCTCTGTGTTACCTGAAAATTCTGATGGGTTGTTGATTTTTGAGCCTAAAGAAGCTGGAATCTCTCCTTTAAGGTTGTTGCTTGAGACGTTGAAGTACACCAAGTTACTGGAAATAAGGGCGAGGCTAGCCGGAATCTCCCCGGTTAAGTTATTAACAGAAAGATCCATCTTTGTCAAGTTTGATAAACCAGATCCAGGTATGACTCCTGAAAGATGATTGTGGTCAAGTGACAATGAGTTGAGAGACGAGCTCTGAGAGACTTCTGGTGGGATTTCGCCTGACAAGTTGTTCCGACCCAAGTCAAGCACCTTCAAGCGCGGAAGACGAGAGAGATCAGCTGGAATATGACCCGTTAGCCGGTTAGATCTTAACTCGAGAACTTCAAGAGCTGAGCAGTTTCCAATTTCAGGTGGAATAGACCCAGAGATGTGATTATCCGACAGCGACAAAGAAACCAACAAGCGAAGAAACCCGAAAGTCTGCGGAATCTGACCGGAGAATGAATTAGAGCTAAGGTTCACATACCTTAAACTCACCAAGCTACTAAACCCTTCAGGTACAACACCAGAGAAGTTGTTCCCCTGCAATGCAATCACTTGCAAGTTGGGCAAACCAGAGAGCTCAACGGGAACCTCACCGGACATATTCTGCTTGCTCAAATCAAGTGCTGTTAACTTGAACAGATTACCTACACTAGCTGGTATCTCACCAGAGAATCCATTCCCACTCAAATTCAGAAAACTCAGGTTACTTAAGTTGCTGATACTCACAGGAACTTCCCCGGAAAACCGATTTCCACTCAGATCCAGCTCAGACAGACTCGTCAATGCCAATAACTCCACTGGAAAACTCCCATTCAAGTTGTTTTCACCTAAGTTTAACCTATCAAGCTGCTGCAGATTCACCATAGATGAAGGAACATAACCTGAGAAGCTGTTTCTGCCTAAAGATAAAACCTTTAAAGCATTCATGTAGCCAAGAAACTCTGGAACCTGACCTTTTAATCTGTTTCCTTCCAAATCAAGAACACCTAACGAACCACATTGCTTAATCTCAACAGGAATCTCACCAGTAAGAGAGTTATTAGCCAATTTCAGTTCCTCTAATCTCTTCAAGTTACCAATATCCGGCGGAATCTCACCGGAAAACAAGTTTCCAGAAACATCAAGATTCGTTAGTGACAAAATATTAGTCAACCACAACGGGAAACGGCCGGAGATTGGATTTTCCCTGAGATCCAAGACCTGTAAACCGGTACGACAGTTCGCCGTCGTCTCAGGCCGTACGATATCGGAGAAAGCATTGAACCCTAACTGAACAATCCTAAGCGATGTGTTGCAGAAGACAGAAAACGGCACAGTACCGGAAAAATTGTTGTTAGAGAGCGAGATAACCTCGAGTTTAGGAAGAGCGCCGTACGCGGCGGGGATCACGCCGCCGATTTCGTTCTCCGACGCGCTCAAGTGAACTAAGGAGGAGCAGTTTGAGATAGCAGACGGTAATGTCCCTTGCAAGAGATTGAAATCAAGCCATAAATACTGAAGACTCTGGAGGTTACCTAGACTCGCCGGAATCTCGCCGGTTAACTGATTATACGAGAGATTAAGAAGCTGAAGCTGAGTCAAGTTAGCGAGTCCACTCGGTATCTGACCAGAGAAGGTGTTCGACGAAATGTCAAGGAACTTGAGGCTCGATGGTAAACCAACGGAGATCTCACCAGAGAGACGGTTTCCAGCAACATTAAAAACCTCAAGCGATGTGAGATTCCTCATCGCCGGAGGTAGTTTCCCAGAGAGTGAGTTGTACTGAAGAAAGACGGAGAATAGGCGCGTGCAGTAAGCGAGTGAAGCAGGGATAGTACCGTTCAGCGAGTTTGACCGGAGACTGAGCTTCCGTAGCATGCGTAGGCCGGAGATACGATCAGAGATTCGTCCGGAGAGTTGAAGACGAGGTAGACGGATCTCAGTGACACGGTGGTTAGTGCAGCCGACGCCGCGCCAGTCACATGGAGCTGCTGGAGTTGAAGGATCCCATGAAGTTAAAGCACCGAGAGGGTCATGGAGGTTGAGTTTAAACGCCGTGAGAGCATCAATCTCGGCTTGAGATTCATCGGCGTATGAAAATAACGGCGCGTAAATGACCAGGAAAATGAATAACAGAGATATATCCATGGCCTTAGATCTGTTGCAGTGAACAAAATAAAAACTTAGCTTGAAGAAGGTGAGAGAAGTGTCCCCATGAGTGTGGTTTCTTGGAGAGAGAATGAGAAAAAATAAAAATGAGTAAAGTTAAAAGTTTTTAAAGAAGAAGCCGAAACAGGATTATATAATTTATTTGTTTCTTTAGATAATTTGAAATTTATTTGAAGTCCGCACTATAATCCATGCATTATTAAAAAAATGATCTTTGTTACAAATTGGGGAAACATTATTCTAATCATTATATTGTCCTTGCAAGTTAAAAAAAAAAAAAAACAGAGCTGGTCCACTCGTTTTAAACTCCCGGCGATCGATTTTCACGGCGAGAAATGTCGTCGGCGATTTGCTTTGCTTTACTCACCACCTTCACGATCCTCTTGTCGTATTCGAGCTTGTCTGATGGATTACAACCTCGTAGGATTTCTCATGGCTTGACGGAAAGTAGCAAGTACTTGACGAGGGATGAGCTCTGGTTCAATCAAACCCTAGATCACTACTCTCCATCTGTAATCAATCTTCCCGATTTCGTTTCTTCTTCGATTTCAATTAGAAATCTAATTGTTTCTAATTTTAGGAATCGAATTGTTTCTATATTAGGATCATCGCAAATTCAGACAGCGATACTATGAATATCTTGACCATCTACGAGTTCCAGACGGACCTATCTTTATGATGATCTGTGGCGAAGGACCTTGCAATGGAATCCCCAATGACTATATAACTGTAAGATTTTATTTGATTGATTAATCTATTTCTCATGGCATCGATAATTAATGGAAATTTGCATTGCTTTTTCTTGATAAACATGGTCTTCAGGTGTTAGCAAAGAAGTTTGATGCAGGCATTGTTTCACTCGAGCATCGTTACTACGGAAAGAGCTCACCGTTTAAGTCATTAGCCACTGAGAATCTCAAGTATCTTTCATCTAAACAGGCTCTTTTCGATTTAGCTGCTTTCCGCCAATATTACCAGGCAAGTAGTAGTCTTATGGTTTTTACTTTCTCTAGGATCAAATGTTTGAGAAGCTGCGTTTATAAGCATGTTTTGGGATTTCTTTGTGGATGCAGGACTCTTTGAATGTTAAGTTTAATAGAAGCGGCAATGTTGAGAATCCGTGGTTTTTCTTTGGAGCGTCTTATTCTGGAGCTTTAAGTGCTTGGTTCCGGCTTAAGTTCCCTCATTTGACCTGTGGAAGCCTTGCTAGTTCCGCAGTTGTTCGTGCTGTCTACGAATTCCCTGAATTTGATCAACAGGTATTTTTGTTTCAAGATTATACTTTAAGTGAAGACATGTAGTGTTTTTCATATAGAGTTTAGTTGCTGACAGAATCGAGATTTTTTTGCCTTATTGAGTAGATAGGTGAGTCAGCTGGACCGGAATGTAAAGCTGCACTACAAGAGACTAATAAACTCTTGGAACTAGGGCTTAAAGTGAATAACAAGGCTGTGAAAGCTCTCTTCAATGCCACCGAGGTCTAGCTTTGCTGTTTCTCTTTCTATTCGTTGAATCCAAACAAATCTGGAAGTAAAAAGTCTGTCTCTAATATGTTTAAGTTTCTGAAATCTGCAGCTTGACGTTGATGCTGATTTTTTGTACTTGATAGCAGATGCAGAAGTTATGGCGGTATGCATGTTCATTTTATACTTTTATGATTTTCATTTTCTTTCTAGTTTTAGATGTTTATCTTCCAAGATTTTGGCAGATCCAATATGGAAACCCAGATAAACTATGTGTACCACTCGTGGAAGCTCATAAGAATGGTGGTGATTTAGTGGTAAGTTCTTTGTTTTTTTAGATCCCTCTTTGCTTTTACTTGGTGTCTATATATATGATAACTGATCATATATGCTAGAAGAACTCGTTTTGCAAACTAAAGATTTGTATTTACTGATACATTATATGTGGTCTATAAATGCAGGAAGCATATGCTAAATATGTTAGAGAGTTTTGTATGGGAGTCTTCGGGCTGAGCTCTAAAACATATAGCCGGAAACATCTGCTAGACACTGCGGTAACCCCAGAGAGTGCAGATAGGCTTTGGTGGTTCCAAGTTTGCACTGAAGTGGCGTATTTCCAAGTGGCACCTGCAAATGATAGCATCCGGTCTCATCAAATCAATACAGAGTACACACAGTCCCAAGCTTATATGCATAATTTTGTTTTTTATCGTTTCTATCTATCGTCCTGCTTACTTTTCTTTTAATTTGATAGGTATCATTTGGATCTATGCAAGAGTCTGTTTGGGAAAGGTGTTTACCCTGAAGTCGATGCAACAAACCTGTACTATGGAAGTGATAGAATTGCTGGTATGTAATATCGAAAAATATCTCGATGATCCTCTTATACTTTTGCACATTCCAACAGTTTCTTCTTATTCTCAATTTTGCAGCGACCAAGATTATCTTCACAAATGGGTCACAGGATCCATGGCGTCACGCATCCAAACAGACCTCATCTCCTGAACGTAAGTCTCCATTTAGTTTGGTCGAAACTTTATAACATTAACTCCGGCTTAGTCTATATCGTACACTTGCACTCAAACAAATACTTTCTCTGGGACACTAAGAAGTTTATGCTTGACGACACAGTGCCTTCTTACATTGTGACTTGTCACAACTGTGGCCATGGAAGTGATCTCCGTGGATGCCCTCAATCTCCCATGGTCATTGAAGGTATATTACCGGCCTCTTCTCTCTTTCTGATACCTGAAGTCAAAAGACAGACAAGTATTGAAACAACTGCTAAAATAATTTAAATTTTCTCTGCTTTTTTTCATTCCCATTTTCAGGTGATTCCAAGAATTGCAGTTCACCAGATGCAGTGAACAAAGTAAGGCAACATATAGTAGAACACATGGACTTGTGGCTCTCCGAGTGTCGTGGAGGGATTAGGAGTTCCATGTAAAGTCACACGAACTGCGGTTCTGCAGATAAATAAAACCATTAGATGTATGTTCCAAACTTGTATCTGTGTTACTCTGATGTATGTTTCGAACTTGTCGATACGGACCTAATACAGTAGTTTACACGATTAGACGATAGAATTACCGTCGAGCCATGGATCGAGCAAGCTTAGTCAATAATAGTCTCTTTCGTAATAACTAGTTAAATAAAATATAATACGATTCTAAACACGAATCCGTTGTAGTCTAGCTGGTTAGGATACTCGGCTCTCACCCGAGAGACCCGGGTTCGAGTCCCGGCAACGGAGACTTTTTGTTTGTTTTGGGTTTGACTTCTGACGACGTCGTTTTGTATAACTAGTCAACAAAGTGAAGACAGATCACAGATGTCTCCTGCTATTGGACCGGAAGGAAAAATAAAAACGGATGACTCATATAGACACGGAATCAATTTTCTCGGGATTTCGAAATTTGACGGTGATCTGACTTTCAACGAATTTTTCTCCTCCATGTTTTCTTTTGGCTGATCGGTAAATCAAACGTTCGTTTCGGGTTCGATGGTGGAAGCTACGTCTAATTTGACGTCGACGCAGAGATATGCGGCCGGCGCATTGTTCGCGATCGCGCTCAACCAAGCGCAGATCAACCAAACTCAGCCGCTGGGAATCCCGGCGGCGGAAGACGACGACGGAGGCGATGAAGAGCGAAGAAGCAATTGCAGTAGCGGAGATTCTGTCTCTGATGACCCAAGCCTTTGGGTACACGAGACGTCTGGCCTTCTTCGACCCGTTTTCAGGTGATCTCCCAAAATCTCTTATCGTTGTCATCGATTTTGAAGTATTGTTTCTGTGTTTTGGTTGAACTCATCATGGTTGATTAGTAATTGGCTTTAGCTGTGTTTGTAATTCGTTTCTATCCACAGATGTCTTGAGATTGATTCACCGGCTTGGCTTGGTCTCGAGCAAACAGCTTGCTCTTCTCCGGCTAAGCACCACATCGGAGCGGTATAGCTATTCCGGAGTTCGAATTTTGCTGTCATGGATCCGATATTCTTTGTTGAGTTAATTGTTAATTAACTTCTATTTTTGATTTCTTGTAGTTCACGAGGTTACTCTCAGAAGAAGCGAGTGATGCTTCTGTCGAGATGGTGGAGCAAGAGATGGCCTTAGCTAAAGCTGCTGATGCTATGGTGCATAGTATCCAAAGCTCTGTATCTAGAGATGCTAAGAAGGAGAAGCATCAGGAATATGAAACTGAATGCCGTGAGAAATATGCGGTTCCTGAGGTAAAATCAAAAGATGTGGATTTGGATAAAGAGAAGGATAAGAAGGAGGCGGCTGATAGTGCTGAGACAGAGAGTCTTGAAGCGGGTGTAGTTATTATAGATGGAAGCCACAAGCCTGAAGTTCTTGAAAATGAGAAATCTGTTGAGGAAGTAACATTGCTTAGCCATCAGAGGAAGATAAATGTTCTTTATGAGCTACTTTCTGCTTGCTTGTCAGACAAACATCAAGAGGATAATAAATGTAAACGGCGTAGAAAAGGCTATGATGCGCGTCACCGTGTTGCTCTCCGTTTACTTGCGACCTGGTTTAACATTGAGTGGATTAAAGTGGTTCGTATAGTTATTTCTTCCAAAACAAGCTCATTGTGAAATGTAATGCTTTTACATAGAATCATTGTTGTTACGAATTAGATATCTTGCTCTGAGTTAGGATATGGAACTGGCACTGCTCTAAATTCCAGTACTTTTTCATCTGCTACCATTTTCTTTGTTTTCTCTTTGTTCTGGCAGTTGTTTATTGAATGGTTTATATTGTGTTTCCTTTCATTGTTATAATATATAATATATTAACATTGAAGGTTCTTCAATTTCTAGGAAGCAATTGAGACAATGGTCGCATGCTCTGCCATGGCTATTCAGAAGTCTGCTGAAATGAAGGGTGAAGATGCTCTGTCTACTACAACTTCATGGGCTAAGTGGAAGCGTGGAGGCATCATTGGTGCCGCTGCTATTACAGGGGGCACTTTGATGGCCATCACTGGTGGTACGACGAATTCAAAGCGTTAACCTTCTAAATTAGACGCATTTTGAATTGGTTACCTATCTTACATTTACATGGTTATATTCAATAGGATTGGCTGCTCCAGCTATTGCTGCAGGGTTTGGTGCATTGGCACCAACACTGGGCACACTTATACCGGTGATTGGAGCTGGTGGGTTTGCTGCTGCGGCTAGTGCCGCTGGAACTGTTGCTGGCTCCGTTGCAGTTGCAGCATCGTTTGGAGGTGAATAAGAGTAGATGAATTCACTTTTGCACTATATGGATAATCAGTGTGCTTATAATTAGGCACTAGGTGTTTTGGCTTCTCTTTCATCTCCACTAATGTATTAAATTTTTGGAAGGAGCGTTTACAATGTCACTTATGCTTGGTTTTAAAAAAAATTCCGTATCCAGCTGCTGGAGCTGGTCTCACAGGGACTAAGATGGCAAGGAGAATTGGGGACCTTGATGAGTTTGAATTTAAAGCTATTGGCGAAAATCATAATCAAGGAGTGAGTTCCTATTTCCCTCTGCTGCTAGATCATTGTGACCATAATATTTGTATTTTGGAGTACGAAATATTGGTTATATTTCCTCTCCCTTCTTCATTTGGAAATCTCCTTGCTCTGTGTTTTCACTGATGTGAATTTTTTTTGTGGAAATCAATGTAACAGCGGTTAGCAGTGGAAGTCTTGGTTGCTGGTGTTGTTTTTGAAGAAGAAGATTTTGTGAAACCATGGGAAGGGTTAACTAGTAATCTGGAGAGGTATATGTCGTGTGAGGACTTTAGTATCTTAATAAGGAAATAGGATTTAACATCTGGAGCTGCTCCTTGCATTAGCTTTACTCATTCACGTTTGTGTCTGATTCTCAAAGTGAACTATACTTGCTTCTATAAGTCTGGTCTTTTACTATTCCAGGTACACGCTGCAATGGGAGTCCAAGAATCTTATCTTAGTGAGCACAGCAATTCAGGATTGGCTTACTTCAAGTAATTGGTTTTTATCCTACTAAATAACCATGTTGATGTAAAAATGTCAAAAATTCTAAGATAATTGTGATATTGTTATTATGATTTCCCCAGGACTTGCCATGGAATTGATGAAACAGGGAGCTATGCACACTGTGTTGGCCTCTCTTTTAATGGCATTGGCATGGCCAGCGACAATCTTAGTGGCTGCTGATTTCATAGATAGCAAATGGAGTATTGCTATTGATAGGTAACACCTTTTCCCTTGCTAAGTAGTCATCTATGAATGAAGATGATGCACCATTTACCCATCACATCTCCAACTAATGACTAGTTACTTTGAAACTTTCGTGTTGGTTTTGCATTCGAACTAAATCCGTGACTGTTATAATCTACTCCTGTAGGTCGGACAAAGCAGGAAGACTTCTAGCTGAAGTGCTACAAAAAGGCTTGCAAGGAAATAGGTATAGAGTTCATGACTGCTGCAATGAAATAAATATAATTTCTGTATTTAAAAGTTATACATAAAGGATTTATGTCTTGTGTTGCTTATATTTCCTCAAATTTTGGGAATTCAGACCCATCACTCTCGTGGGTTTTTCACTCGGTGCTCGTGTCATCTTCAAATGCCTCCAAGCTCTGGCCGAGACAGAGCAAAACGGTATTTTCCATATGCAACATAGAAGATTGCTTTAAAAGATTGAATCTGACTTTTATCATGTCTTTGGCAGCTGAACTTGTGGAAAGAGTTGTTCTTCTTGGAGCACCCATTTCAATCAATAATGAAAACTGGCGAGACGTAAGGAAGGTACATTACATTACCAAAACATGTCACATCTATGGAATCAAATCTTAAATGAGATTTTGTTAAAAAATTGATATCTCTGGTCCTGTTTGATAGATGGTAGCTGGAAGATTCATCAATGTTTATGCCACAAATGATTGGACCCTTGGTATCGCATTTCGTGCTAGGTACATAACATACATTCCATTATTTCAATTTATATTCTCTTCACCTAACAAACCAACTTGTTCAATTAATCCTAACTATGATCGTCCACAGTTTATTCTCCCAAGGATTAGCGGGAATCCAACCAATTTGTATCCCTGGGATCGAAAATGTAAGCCATCTATCTCTTTCTTTTTGTCACCTCTATGTATTATCCACTTGTGAAACAAATAATTAGCTGATGGAGTGAATATTTAGTAAATGATTCTGCCAACAAAAAAAAAAAAAAAAAGATATAAGATCACTGTCAATAATTGTAGGGTTTTAATCTTAATCATATCATTTCACCTCTCGATTTCAACGTGTTACAGGTGGATGTAACCGATATGGTGGAAGGTCACTCTTCATATCTATGGAAAACTCAGCAGATTCTAGAAAGACTCGAAATTGACACTTATTACCCTGTTTTTAGAGACACTCTCTAACGCAAATAAAATTAGATACGTATAGAGAACCAAACTTTTTCACATGTTTGAATTGTAGACACAAATAAAAGTCGTTATGCTTATACGTTAGACATTAACTAAAGCAAGGCTTGTATTTTGTTTGTTTGCTTTAGTTGTCTTTGGTTTTTTTTTTTTTAAGTTCGTCGATGCCGGCGAAAGACGAGGACTGTTTTATTGTAATTATTTGTATGAAACGTCACATTGAACCGCCATGGCTGACTATGGCCGTGTTTTAGCTGATGGAAAAAGTTAGTAATTCTCTAGTGACTGTATACGTCGGAACAGAAGAAAAATGATAAAAGTTTGGAAGACTTTCATTTCTTTCTTTTTTTTTTCTTTTTCTTTTTTTCGTTATTGATTATTAAATTATCATAATACTTTTAGACAAGTATGTTTATTTATTTTAAATTTAAATACAATTTTCCGTGAAGGTTTATCTTTTCATCTTTTGTATTTCACTCATCCAACAGGTATCAATTGTTAGTTTTTTTAAATAGAAAAGACCATTAGTTTTTTTATGCAATAAAAATAGAGATAAGTTCTAAGAAAAAACAAACACTACACTTAAATTTCAGAAAATTATCTTATTTATATTTCAGTAAACCAATTCCTATGGTCTCATGTGTAAGGGAATCCTCTTTCTTCACTACTAGTGGTCCATACAAGTT